GCATGTTAACAAGAAGCGGGCTATGGGGGGGCCCCGCCCCGGGCATGTGGCTGGGGGGGGCCGCCCCCGGGCGGGCAAGTGTCCCCGCCCCCTGGCGCCCGGCGGGTGAACGGCCACGCCCCCTGGCGCCCGCCAACCTGAAAAGGTTAGGGACCACTGATCTAGACAGTGCTTGGTCCTACTGTGAGGGCAAGGGACTGGACTTGATGACCCCTCGAGGTCCTTTCCAGTTCTAGTGTTCTATGATTCTATGATCTCCAGGCTGGTTAGGCTGATATTGTTCCTGGGTAAAATAGCAAAAAGGTTTTGAGTGGTCCAAAGATCACAGAATCATAGAACAGTAGAACTGGAAGGGTCCTGGAGAGATCATCAAGTCCATCCCCCTGCCTTCATGGCAGGACCAAGCACTGTCTAGATCATCCCTGATAGATATTTGTCTAACCTGTTCTTAAATATCCCCAGTGATGGTGATTCCACAACCTCCCTAGGCAACTTATGCTAGTGCTTAACTACTCTGACTACTCGCTTGTTGCAATTTAAGCCCATTGCTTCTTGTCCTATCAGAGGTTAAGGATAATACTTTTTTTTCTCCTCCTTGTGACACCCTTTTAGATATTTGAAAGTTACTATCTTGTCCCCTCTCATTCTTCTCATTTCCAAACTAAATAAATCCAGTTCTTTCAATCTTCCCTCATAGGTTATGTTCTCTAGCCCTTCAATCATTTTTGTTGCCCTTCTCTGGACCCTCTCCAATTTCTCCACATCTTTCCTGAAATGTGGTACCCAGAACTGCACACAGTGCTCCAAATGAGGCCTAGTCAGCGCAGAGTAGAACGGAAGAATGACTTCTCATGTCTTCCTTAAACACTCCTGTTAATGCATCCCTTAATCATGTTAGCTTTTTTTGCAATAGTGTAACACCGTTGATTCATATTTAGCTTGTGGTCCACTATAAGAATGTAAGAACATAAGAACGGCCGTACTGGGTCAGACCAAAGGTCCATCTAGCCCAATAGCCTGTCTGCCGACAGTGGCCAGCACCAGATGCCCCAGAGAGGGTGGACCGAAGACAATGATCAAGCAATTTGTCTCCTGCCATGCTTCTCCAGTCTCTGACAAACAGAGGCCAGGGACACCATTTCTATCCCCTGGCAAATAGCCTTTTATGGACCTAACCTCCCTGAAATTATCTAGCTTCTCTTTAAACTCTGTTATAGTCCTAGCCTTCACAGCCTCCTCTGGCAAGGAGTTCCACAGGTTGACTACATGCTGTGTGAAGAAGAACTTTCTTTATTAGTTTTAAACCTGCTATCTGTTAATTTCATTTGGTGTCCTCTAGTTCTTCTATTATGGGAACTAATAAATAACTTTTCTTTATTCTCCTTCTCCACACTACGTCCTCTGGATCTTTTTCTGCAGTATTTGTTGCAGATGAAAATATGATCTTGCAAGATAATGATACGCTGAAGGAATCTAGAAAATTACCATTTGACATGTTTCTCTCAAATGGTTTACCACGGACATAAACACTGGCCCTCTCACCTATGGACTCCTAAAAATCGCCAAGGAAACCATGCAGGGTGATACTGAGAGACAGAAGTTGATTGAAGTGAATGAATTTAATGTCTTCATACAAAATGACACTGAACTTGTTCAGTAGATAATTGAAGTTACATAATTTTAAATGAGTTTTTTATTGGTATGCAAATCATGATGTTAGTGGCAAGAATAGTAAATTGCAATTTTTTTATATATATATTCTTTAAACAAAGGTACCATTATAATTTTCAGACATTTTAGCAAGAGCACATTTTGTTTTTTAAATTTTATAATACTTGCAGAGTTTGTTTGCAATTTGAGTTTTTCTAAACCGAATGAAAATTTTTTTCTGTTCTAAAATGCATTTTATTCAACCAAGGCATCACTGTCTTCTTTTTTTTTTAGTATACTATTGAATGTCTAGAGAAGCATTGATGATTCATAGTTATTATAAATATATTTTCCAGAAATGTAAAATGTTTTATAAGAGCAGATAAATACTTCTGTGCACATCCCTACATTTCCTTCAAATTGATCTGGGTCTGGTAGACTTAAAGAACATTTTAAAACAAGTTCTTTCTGTGGTGTTATCAGCATAATTCTGCCTTTGACTAAAAATAGCTTATTAATTGAACTTAGTTTACCGTTGCTCCAAGGGGTTTAGCTCATGATCAGAATTTACTCAATAAATTTATAAATGTTTCTGTCCTCCTCTATATCTTCTACATATTGTCACAGTTTGTTTTGTTTGAAAAAATAAATGTTGTGGCTATAGAAGATGGTATAAATGAAGACAATGGTTAGATGAAGTGTGGATCTGAAAATATATGAAAATAGAAGACAGCTCTTTTGAGATTAGTTATAAACTTAGACTATCAGTGATTCAAAATGTGTATGTCATTAGACTAATTAGTAATTGGGCAAAGGAAAAAAGTGCTAGAATAACTAATTCCTGATGCCAACTTTGTAACTTCATATGTTTGTGTTCTGAGAAGAATCTCAGCTAAATCTTAAAGGAAAAACAATACATTTTTAAGTCTTCCAGTTGTCTAATATTAAGCATATATGTTTCTTGGCTATATTTCTTATCTTTTGGTCTAATTATAAAAATTGTAAATAAACCTCTCGGTGCTAGCTGAAGTTTTCTATTGCCAGTTCTAATTATATATTTCTTATTTACCAGGTACTACTTACAGTGTTGTGGAATTCCTCAGGGCTCCATTTTATCAACTCTGCTTTGCAGTTTATGCTATGGAAACATGGAAAACAAATTATTTTATGGAATACAGCAAGATGGGTAGGGTAATATTTTTCTATTTTTGTACTTTGGTTTATTATTTCTACAGTGCTATTACTTTACACATTTCATTTCAGACATTCTGAAAAATCTTTGCAGTAGTGGCATAACAAATCCCATGCTTTATAAAATAGGATATCCCAATTAAATGGTTTTTTTACTTTATAAAAAGATTCTTTTTTTTTCTGAGCTTCTTCCAGCACTTTATCTACAATGCTTCTTTAATTGTTAGCACGAATTCAAAGCAACAAAGGACCCTTGTTTTCGGAGAAAATTTTCACTTCTCAAGGAATTATGAAATATAATGGCCAATGATAATAATAAACTCCAAGCTGTTACATGGCAAAGTGAGCCTCATGATTATTGTAGTTACTCTGTGCAGAATGTCTTGAGTGTAACACAAAAGGAATTCTAACCTGCCTCCTCTAAAGAGTTGCATAAAAATGTTGACTAGCATAAAACACAATAGGGATTGAATGTTCAAACACACTAATTCAGAGTAATATTTTTTCTGAATCCTTGAATACCCTGTCCCTTTATACCAGGTCCTTCACTAGGCTGGTTGACCACACTGCAATTGTGCAGCACTACTACACATCACCTTCAAGATATGGTACAAAGGGGTTGGGAATTTATCTTATAAAAAAAATTAGAGTTTAAATGTATACAATTGTAGCAATTTAGGAAGTTCAGTACAACTAAACTTTTAGGAAACTCAGTCTTTTGAAAGCCTGTAAATTTACCTTAGAGCTAACTAAACTATCTGCACTGCGCTGAGATTTTATCCTATCATTTTCCATTATTTGCATATGCAAAATGCTAGATGAGCACTACACATTTGGTTTCATAATTTTTCCTACATTGTTAAGTTACTAATTAAAATGATTTGGCAGCCTGCTAATTTTTGCAGTTTTCATGTAAGAGTTCTAATTTCATCACCTAGGCATATGAGACACATCTGTAGGGAATATGCTAGGCATGTCTCTGACAATTAATTGGCCTCCCCAAGGAATTTTAGGTCCTGAGGTTTACAAGATCTTGCGCAAAACGGGGTTTTTCCAAAAAAATGGCCTCATCTACACAGGGCTTTTTATCGCAAAAACCTCTTCCGCAAAAAGGATCGGAA